ATCAGACCATCAAACTTCAGAGGGAAGGTAGGGGAGGGTGGAGGTAAGGGGGAAAGATCAACCAAAGGACTTGTATGCATGCATATTAAGCATAACCCATGAATGCAGACAGTAGGGGGATGAGAGCATGTGCTAGGGGGTGGGGTTGGCCAGGGAGAGATCAATGGGGGAAAGAGGAGACATATGTAATACTTTAAACAATAAAGAATTTAAAAAAAAGACTTACCACACATAGTGGCAAAATAAAGTTAATCTTAAAAAAAGATAAAAATAAAATAGGACCTCATTAAATATTTACTTTGAGAATTTAAAAAAACACACAAAACAAATCAGAGGCCTTGTTCCTTCAGTCTCACTCATGTTCTAGCAAGATGCCTCAGTGACAAAATCTCTCTAACCTGGCTGTTCTTGTTTTATGCTGGTGATTCTAAAAATATTGGCCAAAAAAGTGTCAGAGAGAAGCCCTGGTGGGGTAGCTCAGTTGGTTAGAGTGTTTTCCACAAAACCCAAAGTTACGGGTTGAATCCTAGGTCAGGGCACATAAAAGAATCAACCAATGAATGCATAAATAAGTGGAACAACAAATAAATGTTTCTCTCTCTCTCAAATAAATAAATAAGTAAAATTTTAAAGTGTCAAAGAAATAAGCAAGAATTCATATATATATATATATGTTAAGCAAGAGAACTGTGAATTCATATATATGTATGAATATACATGAATATATACATACATATATACATATATACATATATACATATATATATATAGATATATAGATATAGATATAGATATAGATATAGATATATACTAGAGGCCCGGTGCACGATAAGATCCGATCAGGAGCAGGACCAGCCAGCGGGAGAGGCCATGGGTGGTTAGTCAGCTGGCCCCACCCCCCCATTGACCCGGTTGGTCGGCTGCAGTGGGCATCATAGTGACAGGTTGTTCCAGTCGTTCTGGTCGTTCTGGCATTCCAGTCACTGGCTCTTTATATATATAGATATATGACACTCTTTATTGAATCTTTTAGAAGTGTATTGACAGCAAGAACTCTGCCTAAAATGGCTTTTGGAAGAGAAGTTTATTTCACCCTCATATCAAGAAGTCTAAAGATGGGCGCTGCTGGTATTGGTTCAGTAGCTCAATTGTATCAGAGCCCGTGCTTCTCTTTGTCTTTTCTTATGGGCCCACAGTGGCTGTAACTGCTCTGTGCATTATACTTGTGATCAAGTCTAGAAAAAGGGGGAAGGTTACTACAGCTTTTATTGAAGAAGCAAAAGCTTTCCCAGAATCAGTACCACATTCCCCATTATAACAGACTACCATAGGGTCCTATTTGCCAGGACTGGGATTACAGGGACACCCGAGTGGCAAGAGAGACTAAAAAAATTAAGAACAAAGTCATCACTATGATTGCCCAAGCTTAATGCTGCCTTGGACAAAATAAAGGTTCTGTTGGCAAGGAATGGCATGGGGGTAGGAGGTGGTAGGAATGAATATTGAGGAAGCAACTAACAATGACCATTTACTGATTGATTCAAGATAGCTTGAAAAGAATTTTCTATATTTTTAAAGTTGATATAGAAATTATTGTGAATAAATATAATATAAATTTACTACTGAATTCATAATAACTATTCTATGCATCTTCTTAAATAATGAAATTTAAAAACATAATAAAGCTACTACAGTTAGGTCTTCTATAATGCTTATTTTGAAAACACAAAGTTGTACCAATAAAGAGGAACTGTTTGAGCATAATACAGTTTCATATTTGCTTATGTGTGATTTCATGTACTTGAAACACTAGGTGAATGCAGAAAACTATCCAGATGCCCTGAGCCACAAAGAAGTACACAAAACTCACACGTGTATGTCCCTTAAAGTGATCAGTGACTTCAGTTTAATGCCTGTGGCCCCAGCCACACCTGCTCACTGCTGGCAGTGTACCTTTCCATCTGATTTTAAATCTCTCTTCTGCTATCGCTTCACTCATAGGCTATGATCCTATGACTTCTTTTTTTAAATTTTAACGTTTTAATTTTATTTTTTGAACCTTCAGTTCTTTTTCAAGTTAAAGTTTTACATTTATTATAATATTTATGTATTTCTTAACCATCTATCACATGTAAAGCTATGCTATAATTTTTTGTTCATTTTCTATCTGCTTTGTATGAGTCACTGACAAAATTTTTGAGTGCTGTGTGTGTCTAGCCACATATTTCCTATAAATCCTGTAGTTTTTGTTGCTTTTTTTGTATGCTCACCTTAGGATATGTTTATTAATTTTAGAGAGTGAAAGGAAGGGAGAGAGAGAGAGAGAGAGAGAGAGAGAGAGAGAGAAAGAGAGAGAAAGACTGATGTGAGACAGAAACATCTATCAATTGCCTCCTGTATGTGCCCCCGACCAGGGATTGATCTGCGACTCAGGTATGTGCCCTGACTGGGAATCAAAGCTGCAACATTTTGATGTACCAAATGATACTCCAACCAACTGAGCCACTGGGTCAGGACAGTCCTGTAGTTTTAATTCTACAATTTGTAGTAGTGCTATGTCTAAGAGTATGTCTGTTAAAACTAGGAGAATGCACACAAGCATATTATCTATAATTAGGGGCCCAGTGCATGAATTTGTGCATCCTGAAAGTAACTGTGGGCCATGAGGCTGCAGTGAGCACAGGGGCGGGTCTTGGCCCATCCTCCATGCCCCCGCCTGGCCCCTCCCACAGTGGCTCCTGGTCCCCTGTCTGCCTGCAGCCCCACTCCCGCCATCGCCACTCCCATGCACTGACAGCGCTGGCCCCACTTGCACCCGTGCTGACAGCAAGTGGTGGCTGCTGCCTCTGTCTGCCTGCAGCCCCACTCCCGCCATCGCCACTCTCATGCACTGACAGCGCTGGCCCCACTTGCATCCGTGCTGACAGCAAGTGGTGGCTGCTGCCTCAATTGCCCCTCAGGAGCAGGGGGAGGTGGAGAAGCCCTCAGGGGTGATCGGGGCCAGCAGCAGCCACTCACACTTGCTAATGGCGCCAAGCAATTGGGGCCAGCACTAGGCCCGGCAGCGGGTGCAAGGGGGGCCAGTGCCAGTAGCAGGTGCGAGCACTGGGCGGGACTGTGCATGTGGGAGCAAAGAATTTTCAGTAACCACCAGAGGCTCACCCCGATGACAGTGACCAGAACCCCACCTTGATCTGGTGCCCCCACTCACCTCCTTCACCATCCCACCATGGCCAGCACCCACTATGTTCCGCGTGCTCTGCTGCCTGCTGCCAATGCCTGCCATGTTCCACGCGCACCCCCTGGTGGTCAGCACATGTCATAATGACTGGTTGTTCAGTTGTTCTGCTGTTTGGTCTATTTGCATATTAGGGTTTTATATATAGAGATAATAAAAGTGTAATATGCTAATTAGACCAGACGTCCCTCTGGACAACCTTCTGGAGGAAGCTGGGGCTGCAAGGGAAGCCCGGGTCCTGGGTGCCAGAGGGAAGCTGGTGCTGGCAACTGAGGAAAGGAAGGCCTACTCTTGCATGAATTTTGTGCATTGGGCCTCTAGTATACATATATGTAGATACAATATTAGAATACAATTTAGACATTTTAAATATGAATCTAGAAAGCTCATTTTATATATTAGTGGTGAGTGCATCATTATAAGTATTTATTAAATGTACTTGGAAGGGCTTGCTTTAGAAAGATGATCAATTGTATTAAATAAAAGCCATTCAATATGCCAGGCTATATCTAGGTGTTTCTAAATTAGGTGAAGATTTCTCATTTATCTTTAAAGGAAATTATGTGAATTGTATTCAGCCCACAGTTGGCATGTGGTTTTTATCTCTTTTTCCTCATTTATAAACCTCATCTAACAAGAGTTAACCATGATTCAGAATGGGCAGCACAAAGCTGAATTTTGGCCATCCCTTTCCACAAAAAACGAACCTGCTTTCTTCCTTAGGGTCTTTCTTTTCTTTAATGAGGGCATACAAGCCACTCAGCACATCCCCAGAGCTTCTTAGAACCTTTCCCTTGAGAAATCTCAGTGAGTACAAGGAAAAACAACTCTAAAAAATTAATGAAAGGCCCGTCACTATTTGCCTTTCTCTCTCCCAGTCTTTGCCCTCCACACTTTCTACATTCTACATGTCTCTTCTCAGTTTCAAACATTTTTCCTCTTCTTTTCCCAAGGTGAGCTGCCTTTTTTGTCACTCCATCTGCAAAAGGGATGGGGAGAAGATTATACTGAAATCACACCCTGACGCAGTGCTTGTGTTCCTAAGGACCAGGCTCCAGAGGGACAGGGCTGGGACCAGGAATCGACTAATTTCAGGCAGGGGCAGCACGGGGAGATGAGAAATCCCAAAGGCTCTGGCAGCCTCTTTGAACATTCTCTTTTCTTCCTGTGCCTGCGACAGACCTCTCTCAAGTTCAAATCCTTGTTTCCTCAGGAATGCGGATCAGGGGGTTTGGCAAGTATATTTTTTAGTACATAATCTCCGGATGGATGTTCATGACTGACTGCGCACAGTGATCCTGAAAAATGATACTGTTGTGATGAAAATGCAAACTCTCACTAACTCCGTGGTCACTCTAGCTAAAGGTCATGTACAAGCCCACATGTGCCTCCAGGCAGCAGAGCACCACAGTGCCCTGAGGGCACCTGTACACACCCCTCGGTACACAGGAAACCCATCAGCTACAGGTTACACTCTGTACTTCCCTTGCTCCCTGCCTCACCTTGTTCTCGTTCCTTCCCCCAACTCTCCTTCCCTCCACCCCAGCCCTCGCCCCACACAATGGGATTTTTGTTTGCCCCAGGAGCATGTGACAGAGTAGTCCCTGCTTTGCCTAGCTCTGTGCTGCAGGTCTCTCAGGTAACAGGTGGCAACTTCCCCTGTTGGATTCTAGGTATAAAGAATGACCTCATAGGGGCGGGGCTCTGGGACTCCTGCACAGGTGGCAGTTACAACCAGGTAACCCTGGAGTGAAGCCGGTTAGTTAGAAGGAGGCAGCTAAACTTGTCACTCTGGTGGCTTTAACCCTCGCCCTGAGGCACTTTAGCAAGCAGCCTTTGCCTGCAAGCCTCTGAAGCATGTCTTTGCCTCAGATGGAGCCAGAAGAAGCTAATGGGAAAGGAAACATGGGCACCAAGAAAAAGAACCTGAACTTCTTGAGGTCCCGGCTCTACATGCTGGAGAGAAGGAAGACTGACACTGTGGTTGAGAGCAGTGTTTCTGGGGACCACGCTGGTACCCTGAGGAGGAGCCAGTCTGACAGGACCGAATACAACCAGAAACTGCAAGGTAACCAAGAGCAATCAATTGTCCCAGGTTATTGCCCTCCCAGCTTTTTTTCTCCTACTCTTCCATTTGCAAAGGAAACACTTAAGGCAGAGGAGGAAATCAAATATTACCTCCTCTCTAAGAGGAAAATAAGAAAAAATAAAATGAAAGTAAATGTAATTCATAAATTATTGGAACAAGTGATTACGTGCTTCAATAGTTCAAAAGCCAATTCTGAATTATTCTTCCTATTTTTTTTCTCATGATAAGAGTAATATTTTTTCTGCTTCCTGCTCTCCTTCCTTTTCCCCCTTGTCCATCTGACTCAAGGAGTGGAAAGCACTAGAAAGGAAATAATTTAGAAAGCTACAAAGGAGAGTTTATCTCAATAGATAGGTGTGAGGTGTCACAACATGAGACCTATCTAGGTAATTGCACTGAACTGTGATTAAATAGGGGCATGAAACTACAATCACGTCTGTGAAAAATAAAGACTTGTCAGCAGGATGGTGTAACAGGATTCGTTGAAAATCACTTAAGTGTTCATTCCTTTAGAGTGAATCAGACAACATCCAAGTATGGTAAGAGATGTTTAGCATGCTTGGGTTGAATGACTTTTGAGGAAATAACTTCAGTTTAGTTTGTGATGGTCGTGAGATAATTTGACACAGTTATTATAACATGCCCTCTGTTTCAGGCCTTGAATTTCTCTATCCCTTCCTATCTACCCCCTCTCCCCACCCCCCTTTTCTCTTGAAGGTCACTTATTCCAGGAAACTTAATTTGAATGTTTGTATTGTGCAATGTTTTAAGTATCCACTGCCATACCTGTTATGTGATCCTCAGAACCCGTCTCTTCCTCTTTGACCACATTGTGTGTGAGCTCTCATAATCCCACCAGAAGCGTCATTCTGGATTGAAACACTGTAATGGGGCCAGAACGACCAATGGGATAAGCTTGTACTTAGCTGGTCTCTTTCATCAAAAATGTGCTTGCATTTAGTTATTTGGATTAAGTTAAAAGAGTTAAATCTTTGAAATTCTGACTGAAAAGAATTCTTAGGTGGTTAGGACTCATCTTCGTGATAATGGCTATATAAGGACCAGAGCGCAAACCCACAGAAATGATTGCTTTGAACATTAATGAGAAAATCCCTTATATTGTTGCCAAACTAGTTAGAGAAGAATCATACTAAAAGCTGTATTACCCATGAGATATCACACTTGGGTTTTAAAAACACTGAAAGCTCAGAAGTAAAATGTAGAGTCAAGTCTTATTCTTAAACAATAATTTAAATATTTTTTTAAATGGTGGAGGGATGACATTTGATCTTTGAAATTAATTATCCTCAAGGCAATTGATACATTGGGAAGAATGCAAATGTAAAAAGTCAGACACATTGGTTTCTAATCCTGTCTCTTTAATTTACCACCTGTAAGACTTTGAGCTAATTACTCAAGATTTCTGAGCTTCAGTTTCCCTGTGAAAATGGGATATTGATACTATGTACTATTATTAGGAAAATGAAATTAGATAATTACATGAAACACCTAGTATATTGGCTGACACATGGTATGTGCTCAATAAGCAGTAGTTATTTCTAATTTTAGGAGCAATGGGTACCATAATGATAGAACAGGACTTACCTTCTATTAATGCAAATTTCCTCTTCAACTAATCTATGTCAACTATTTTCTATCCTTATGAAGAGACCACATAGAGCGATTCTGGCAAAGCCCACAGCTGTATTCCTAATAACATATTTCTTCTTCTGAAATTCACTGATTCCGCATCTTTTTTGGTTCAGATTTTCCATTAGCAAAATAAAAATGGAAAATACTTTTCACTATTCACTTCCTAAACTTAACTGAAAAAATAAGTCTATGACCACAAAATATAGCCGATGTTTGTTAGTTACTCTGCAAGCAGAGATTTCATGCTTCTTGTACACTCCACTGGATTTGTTACTGTCCTGTGCTCTGTTGGATCCTGTCTTTGAAGGTGAAAGAAAAGACTCAAGAGTGAAGCTGTGTTCCTAGAACTGCCTGTGCTGGAGGAAAATCATCAGGGAGTTTGCAGGAGCACATCAGACCTCTAGGGATAGACTGGCCTCCTAATAAGTAATTTTTTTAGAAGTACAGTAGAACCTCGTTTCTCAAACTTAATTCATTCTGGAAGGCTGTTCAAAAAACCATAATTTTTTTCCCATTAGAAATAATGTAAATTGAATTAGTCCGTTCCAGACTTCCAAATAATTCCGTTTTAAGCTTTCTTATACACAGTACATGCCTAATGCACTGTTTAATCTATAAATAAACACATAAAAAGTATATAAAATGTAAATGAAAATTTAACAGAAAGGAAAGGAAATGTACAGTAAAAAATGAAAATTTAATAATAAAGCAGCAATAACAACAAATAAACACAAAAATATTCATATCACAGTATTCTGAGATTTTAACAGTGGTAAACTGACTCATATACACACATTCTCTCCTTTGTTGCCTGAGAACATGTGACTGATCATACAGGTATCAGCCTGAAAGGGTTGTCAGATTGCTTGAGATGGGAGACGTTTGAGAATCGAGATTTGACTGTAACTCTTAATAAAACCCAAGTGTGATATCTAATGGGTAATACAGCTTTTGGCATGATTCTTCTCTAACTAGTTTGGCAACAATATAATGCATTTCTCATTAATGTTCAAAGCAATCATTTCTGTGGGTTTGCGCTCTGGTCCTACTATATCTATTATCATGAAGATGAGTCCTAACCACTTAGAAGCTCTTCATTACTGCAATGGAGAGTTTTTCCTCTGCCTACCTTAGAGCAGGTAGTTCCCTAGGAGGCACTGAATGAAGAACTGAGCTGATTAGAGCCCTCAGAGAGATGGCCTGCAGCCATGTGGGGTCACAGTGTACTTTCATATACTGGAAGGCTGCCTCAAATTGTTTAGTCACTTGCCAGTGCTATGTTGCTATCTGAGTATTACAATTCGCTGCTCTAACTCTCTCTCTGGAAGGGAGTTCTGTGTGTTCTGGGAAATATAATATCTTTTCTCTGGTGCCCCTGGGCTCTTAACTCTTACTATATACTTGTTCAGTTCAATTTCTGACAGACATCACTTTAGTAGTGTGAATTCTAAATTGTAACTTTAAAAAAATGTACACTGGGTAAAAGCTACTAGATTAAACAATAGAACATGGTTTTGATGAGAATATCATAAAATCTTTATGATATTGTGATCACATCAGCATAGTCACTCCTACTAAGCCTCAAGTTGTACAATGTGAGCCTACCGTTAGTGGCTTTTTTATTTCAGTTAATTTATTGAAAATGTTATATGGTAAAGCAAAACCAATACATATGCCAGGAATTCCAACTGAAAAATCATTATGAAAAAAAATTCTGACCTTTACTCTACAGGAGCTTAACAGTCTCTTTGGGAAAGATAAGACAGGTAAACAAATATGGTAAAGTGACAGGATAGACGTGGGGGTGAGATCAGTGGGTCCACAAAAGGAGGAAATGATTTATTCAGGATTGAGTGGAAGAAGTTGTTAGAAAACATTAACAGATGATAAGGTGGGGATGAGGAAGAAGGGGCAGAATGGGGGGAGAAGCGTGTTTTAACCTCTTCATTGTACTTACCTTTGTCTGAAATTAAAAATATGTTGCTTGTTTCTTTGTGAAATGTGGAGTTCGGGGTTCAGATTCTTCTTCTGTGAGTCTTTGTCCTACGAAGTTGAAGAATAAATTCATGAACTAAAAGATTTCTTTAATAAAAATGTGGAAGTTTATTGTAAGTGTATACAACTCCCCCTGGGGAGGGATCCCTAAATAGAAAAAAACCTGCTCACTCACTCTCTCTAATGGGAAAAATAAAAAAATCTAAAATCTGCTGAGTCTCTTTGTAAAGGCTGTAGCTCTTTGTCTGAACATGACCTTTTCTAATTGGACCCTTCCTTAATTTAGGACCCCCATGCTTTCCTCATTGGTCACTCTGCTACATAGTATCAGTTTCAAAGGTCAAAGCCCATGTGGTGCCCCTTCTTTTCTCCCCCTTACTTGCAACATTCTTCTATCCTTTATGAAAATGTTCCCCTCTTCCTGGTATCTTATGACTTTTCTTTATGCTCTGTGAAAATATGCCTGCCTCCTGTAACATTTCTCTATCTCTGTAAAAGTAAGGTAAGCATTTTGGTGTCTCCAAGCCCCAACTTATGCATTCCTCTCCCATGAACTCCCCTTATTTCCTAAGACTCCCTGTTCTGTCTCTAAAATTTCTTCCACTTGTTTATTGCCTATTACTGACTTTCATTTCTTCTCCCATCTCTCACCCCCAAAACACTCTACGTAACTGTTCCATCTCTGAACTTAGAATCACTCCCAGCACATGTGAGCACTCAGTAACTTTCAAGTAGAATGAATGATTGGAATGATCTGGTTCAGGATGGAAATGAATGTGAATTAATGAGAATGACAGGCTATCATGTCATTCTCATGAATGGCTCTAGTGCCCTTATAGGAAGACATCAAGCCCTGAATTATGAACACTTGTGTCTTCATATGTGAGGATAGAGGTCTCCATGAATAAAGATGATTCTTCAGTAAAAAAAAAATAAACATAGCAGAGCTTAAAATGTACAGAATTAACTCTATAACAAATAATTCTTAGTGGAAGCCTATCTCATTCCCGAGTCTACCTTTTAGAGCACACCAGACCACACCTCAGTTCATTCTTCTTCTTCCATACAGAATGTGAGGGCATCATCTCAGCTGCCTAGCTAGCTCAGCTGCATTTGAATGGGAGCCAGATAAAGTGGTCCAAGCAGGGAAAATTTAATGACTGAGTTGGTAAACTACTTTTTTTTGGGGGGGGAATGGGGGGTGGGGAATGATTTGTATATGATTATATGTGTGAGTTCTACATTTGACATTTGCTTGATTTAAATTGTAACACACAAATGTGTCTGTTTATACAGATTATCCAATCTAATCTATTATATATAGATATATA